AGGGGGGGGGGTGTAACTTGTCGTTTATAATAGTTTTGATAGAACCGAATTTGGTTTCTAACCTCATACTCTCAGTAACTCAAAACGGCCACAAATGTCTGATAGAACTTTGTAATTCTGAGGTAGTAATTTGGACATACAAAATAAAATGTTAATTCAAGAGAGATTTAAACAAAGCCATGATTTACTTTCCCATACGTTTAGAACAAATAAATGCACCCGCTGTAATCATATCTCCTACTACGTACGGTTCAGACCAGTAGAAAAAAATGACAGAGAACCAGTTAGGTAATAAACAAACACGTGCACACGTTCACAAAGTAGTTAAGATGTTAATTTGATCATACATTTTGTAACTTTAGATGTTTCGTTTACTGAGCTGCCTTTTTCACATTGCAACCAATCACGTGCCTACATTATTACATTGCACATGTGTTCTCTCACTTAAAAAAAATGTCGTGTCTCAAATTAAATACTTTTCGTCTCTGTTCTCGATCCGTCGTCCCACACACGCACACTCGTCAATGACCGGCTTTCTTCGTGCAGACGCTGTCGTTAACCGACTGAGGACGCGCATTAGGTCATTCGACACTAATTTCTGAAAGACGCGAAGCTTTGGGGAACTTAAAATTTAAATTTGTTGCCTAATTTATGCTTCTCTTTTCTTATAACAGTTTCTTTTTTTATTTCGTTTTTTTAAACCTTGGATTTCAAAAAGGAAGGTAACAACATGCAAGCCATGTTTTTAGTTTGTGTATGATCATTGGACATGTCACAGTGCCTTCGTGGTCGCTACGTTCTCATAGAGTTTCAATTAGACGCATAGAGTTAGGTGGGGTTGGGGGGGGGGACTTCTGAATTCCACCGAGTCATTGATATCGCACCCCGTCATTATTGTGGGATCTCGTGTCTGCCCTGGCGTAATGGATATGAGAGTTTGCAAGTCTTAGTAAAAAAAAATGTATGTCGTGGTTACGTAGGCGGTCTGTGGTTATAAGGCTGCTAGCTGGGCTCGCAAACGAAAGGTCGTGGGTTCCAACTCTGTCAAGGACCCGACGTTGCGCCTTTGGGAAAGGCACCCTAGTTTATTTTTCTTTAATTCTCTCCACCCAGGTATCATTGGGTATCCTGGTATAGAAAGCAAGAGATCTTTTTAGTGTGTTAGTGTTTAGGAGCTTAATTGGCTGCTTTCACGGTGTGTTTCCAGGGTTGCGCAGAATATTATTTATTTGTGAGCGTTCTAGGGTCTGCAGAGGTGATGCTAATTGTACAGCGCTTAATGTATGCTGAAGAAAGTGGATATGTGCAGTAAATACAGTTATTATTATTATTATTATTATTATTAATATCAGTGTGTTTTCTTTCTCTCCATTTCTTCTCCCAGCATGGAGACTCGCTGTACCGAACTTAACTCCGGTGGCACAAAAGTGACCGATGGGGGCAAGGCGCCAACCTGGCCCAATGACCTTCCGGACGTCATGCTGAAGTCCGAGAAAAACCCGTCAGAGACCAGCTCGGTCCTGGACGTGAAAAACAGCGCAGACACGAGCCCTTCCGAGTCGTCGAACCCGACTGACGAGGAGACGACGGGGTCTGATAGTCCACCGCCGCCGTACGAGGGAGACGGCAGCAGTTCGGGCGATGAGGCAAGCCATGAGGTTGAGGAGGAGGAGGAGGAGGAGGAGGGGGGCAGCGGCAAAGACAAAGACCACCACTGCCACCTCAGCAACTCAAAGAAACGGTGCTTGGACATGATCGAAGTGGGTTGTGGGCCGCACGGTGCTCGAATGGAGTGTAAAAACGACCACGGGTGCGGCTGCCATGGTGTTGTCTCCAACCCCTCTCAGCAAGGGTTCATAGACGCGGAGGAGAACCAGAGGAATTTGAAAAACTCTGAAAAGAGCCACCATAGCAACAACCACCATCACAACCACAACGAAACGCAACACCGCGGCGGCGCAGCTGAGTTCACGTCGATAAGCATCACGTTAAACGACGACCCCATAGATGTCAAGGAAGAAGAGGCCGCGGGCCACGACGGGAGAGAAAGCGAGGCCGAGAAAGGGGGCGTGGTCGGAGGGGGCGTCGACGCTAACGCGGAAGAACTTCACTCGCTGCTCAACCATCTCAACAAAGGCGAGGGCGACGTGGTCCTCGAGAACGGGTACCTCCAGACGCGACACACGAACAGTGGTCACAACTCCATGAGCAGCTCCATGCTCAGTTTCGGCTTGGACTTCAACAGACACGGCGATGACGACACTATCTATGACGATGACGGCCTGGAGGATCCCGACCAGGGGGTGCCCATAGACAGAGGCTGGGCCTGGATGGTTTGTTTGGGTAAGAGTTGTGTGTGATTAAATACGAAAAAATGAATAAATGCACGAATGAATGAATGAATGAACAGATAAATATACAAATAAACGAATGAGTGAATGAATATTATATATATATTATATTCTCCCTCTCTATCTCTCTCGC